ACACACACACACACACACACACACACACACACACACACACACACACAAGACATTTTAATAAACTTTAATAGTTTACATCATTAAATACATCATTAGATATTAAACCTGTTTACGCTTTCCTGTATTCATCCTAAATTGACCATAATGACAATAAAATGTTTTAATTAATATGTAAATGACTTTAATTCTGACACTGTAGATGCTGCAAATAGATTAGAAGGTGATAAGAGATGCATTTGGAAATGTATGAATATTAATAACAAAGTGTACATGTTTTTCTGCACACTATGCATTTCCAATGTTTTGTGTAAATGGTTCTCAGATGCCTACCTGTAGATAAAACTAACTCTACAGTCACCACAAGCGTGCCCGTTCACTTAGGAAAGGTAGATCGCACGGCATGAGACAAGGAAGGTGTGCTAACTATTAGCAAAAAGCAGCTCTTTGTTCCTATAGCTTGCCATGTAAAAACCTACCCACATGATTAAAATGATGCAGCAGATAATCAGCAAATACATATATTGACAGAAAACAGTGAGAATAATTACAACTGAACAACCAAAAATCTACAGAAAAGAGCTGCAACTGTGGACACAGTCAACAGCAGACTCACTTGGATTGTTGGTCATTGCAGACCAAGTGACATACATGGTGTAGAGGGAGATGAGCGACGCCTGGAGCAAACCGGAGTGTGGCTGGGCTTCCTGTAACAAACAGGACAGACGTACACTTAATGTGTTTCCAAGTATTTCTGCATCAGTACAGTCTTAGACTGGTCCACACCGTACCTGTATCTTGGGCAGAATGGAGACGATGGAAATGATGACACAGAAGATGAGGTTGAGGCTGATGAAGACCTTGTGCTCTGTGCAGTCATCAGGCTGTGTGTAGTAAACGTAGAAAAGCACCACAGCAGTGAAAGCCAGTGCATAGTAGAGGACGGTGAATGACAGCAGGCCTGGAAATGACATGGATACACATCATCACCGATGGCCCAAAACCACAGATATAATAATGTGCTACTGGTACTCAAATATTACGTTGATTGTATAATTAATCATTTGGCAAATATGTAGAATAACATTGGCAATAAATGCCTCTTTTAAGTGAATGGTGTACCTGCAAACCAGCCTTTGTTGCCACCATCTTCAGCATTCGCAACCCACACCTTGTTCCAGGAGTGGGCGAAATCGATGAGAAGAATAAGTTGGATTAGAATGAAGACGAAGGATCCCACTACTCCGAAGTAAAACCACACTGTGAAGGGAAAAGGAAGCACAGCTAAAATAGTTTTCTGAAACTAGAGATTTCTTACTTATAATTCACAAAGTCAGTGTCTGGTTTAGTCTAGTTTAACTGTTTATAGAAATTGAACAGAGTATGTTAGTACCAGTATGAAATGTTCCGTCGGGGATGAAAAAAGCTCCCACTGTAATCCCAATCAAGATGAGAAATTTAAAGAACCAGAACCTGGAAAGTAAACAAGTTACAAATCCACCATCAGTACAGCAGACGGACAGAAGTAGCACATCGCTCAACACACGTCTTCCATATAAGCTCAATAAGGCACTTCACCCATTTTGAATGGCTGCACGTGGGTCTTTGCTGCTACGGACACGAATCATGATGGCGGAGAACAGAAAGAAGAAGCAGGTCATGGCGAAGCACATGCGGTACACAGACTTGTAGCCCACAATGACATCACAGTTAACCTGGTTTTCAAAACCAGGTACAGCACTTCCTCCCTGGCAAAATCCTGGGATCTACAAAACAGCAGACAACAATGTGGAATTAAGCTTATCTACAAAGCATTACCAGAGAGAATATATACAAATGCTTCCAACTGCAGTAACAGCATCAAGCTAATTAATGCGATACAACCCTGAACACTGTTTTGCAACCGGATTAAGAGGAACGGTGATCTCACTTTACGGAGCTGTGTCTCCATTCCAGGAAGGATCATGATGACAGACACCAAGGTACCCAGCAGCAGGAAGAAGGAGAACACCAGCCGTGTGATGGTGGAGTTATTGGAGGAGGGACAGCAGCCACACAGGAGGCATGGTGCTGAGCCACACAGACAGGAGGCCTGTGAAGGATGGAGAGGACAGCAAAAGGAGATCACAGACACAGTCACACACAATTTTGGGCAATTGCTTTGGCAGAAAAATATATATTTTTTCATTAGAAATACTGGGCTGATAAATTATTTAACGAGGAAGTGAATACTGATAGTGGACACTGGATTCAAGTGGATGAGCATCACCCACATATCGGATTCCTTAGCACTAACAGCTACCTCACCTAGCTTAAATGTTTCTGACGTTAGTGCAAAGGGCCTCTTCAGACACTCCCTCTGTCATTATTTGCAATGCTGATTAACTATCTTGATAAGCCAACTTCCCTATATGTTTAATGCGTCTAGTACGGCTGGCATTTGACGTGAAGTCAATAATTTAACTTGTCGTAAACGCGTTTATCTCCGACTGTCACGTAGCGCTTCAAGTAACGTTGATTCTTTAGTTACCGTGAATGTAAGTTTAGCTATTAACGTTAACCTAACGTTAAGTTTAGCGTTAGCTCACCTAACGGTAAAACGACGACAGTGAGCTGACGTCAAAGCACTCCTAGTATCTTAAATAACGTTAATACAACTATTATATACTTACACAGCTGGCTAAAGAGCACAATGCCAGACAAGCCCCCATCTTGACATTAAACTGCTGAAATGAATGTTAGTGTAGTGTAGCCTGTCGCTCACAGTGGTCAGTGTACACAAACAGTCGGAAGTTATTCGAATGCTTTTCAAAATAAAGGTATTCACGATTAAAACCTCTTCAATGTAAAACACCTAGCTGTCGTAGAGTGAGTAGGATAAAAATGAGATGATGCTGCATTTTTAGGAATGATAACACATCTTGGTTAATGTGTTAAACGCTGTTGTATATGTTGCGGCACTGTTTATTTCCCCCAATCCAAAAGAAAACGTCTATAGTTGTGTCTGCAGAGCACAGTGGACAACAGGACAGTAAATGTTGGGAACCAACTTTGAAACCAACAATCTGTTCAGCATCCCAGGAGCTGAGGTCTTTTTAAAACTACATGGACATAGAGAGGGATCAGGACAGAAGCCTCTTCAAAGCCCCTGCTGTTGGTAGTGCACCAGCACAGCAAGGAGCTAACAGTGATGGTGTTATTATTAGACCCTTTAATATCTTATCTGGAACAAGAGATATGCCAGTGCCAGACTCTCGATTCATTTACTAGCAAGCAGGAGTACTATTTCAAGGGTATTCATAAAGCACAACGTGACCATGCAACTTAATTTAATTAACATGAGTGGATTGTGTAACATAAAATTAACTTTGAAATACTTAATTAATTGCTCCAAATATTATGTGGATTACAGACACAAAGTAGTTTTATGCATTTAAAATATGTGTACGGTTGATTTGGATATACAACTCTAGGTGGAAGCATTCAAGCACCATTACATTAGACATTTGTGTTTGGAGGCATTGCTGAGACATCACAAGAACCACCACTACTGCTATTAATAATATTAATTCTGCAACACTGCCATTACTTTTAATACGACTACCATCAGTATTACTATTATCAAGACTACTAAGGTTACAACTATTACTATTGTCACTACTACTAATAATACTTTCCACACTACTACTTCTATTCATTCCACTACATCACAATTATCTTTCCTAATGATTGTTTTACTCTTGTCGATAAACTACCTCATGTACATTACTATGTTCATGAAAATAAATAAGTCTTTTCAGATGGTACCTTTTTTGGGGAGCTCTGATAGCCAAGAAGTTTATTCTCAGCTGAAGGAAAATAGAAGAATTTTGAACAAATTTTCCAGGACAATTGACCTTTTCTCTTATTTCCCATGTGCTTTCCATGACTGGAAAATTGGTCAACTGTTATTTCAGGTTTTCCAGGAGAAGTGGGAACCCTCACTAATAGTACTATGCGTTGCTGGGTAAGAGAATGAAAGCAAACAGTGATTGGATGCGCCAAAATATTCTCCAGTTAACTGTATATAAAGTAGTAAAATATTTCAGCCCACTTGCAAACACAGACACTTATCCAGCGCTATGTTGGCGGGGTTCTGTTGTGATGAATGGATGGGTGAGGACTTGACCAGGGGTGATCCTGTCGTCGGGATCCATTCGAAGCATTGCCTTCAGCAGGTCAATGCACTCCATCTTTTCATCAGCTTCCACCTCAGTCAGGTAAGTCAGGGGCAACTAATGCGGGAAACAAAAGGGCAAATCCAGCAGAGTTTTTTACTTTCTGATTCAGAATCAATTAAAAGCTCATCTGTAGCAGCGACAGAACAATCCATCTAAACACCTACCGTTTCCAAATCGTCCAGGTTGCAGAATTGGTAGGCTCTGCAGTCGCAGAAATGAGAGGTTATGTGGTGCTCCTGAGATGTCAAAAAGAAGGTATTTCAACCAGAGAAGAGAATATTGAGGAAGACACAACTTTTGATCTTGTCGTACCTTCAGTCTCCAGTGACCGGAAGACTTTTTTACAAAATAGGTTTTGGAATGCATCCCAGCACTCAGAAGATAGTCTGGAGGGACACCCAGGAGTTCCACTATGCACCGCATCTGTAGACAAAACACAGCATCACACCAAGATAAGAACAGGATTCATCTCCCACAGTCAAAATAATAATTTGGAATGATGTATTGCATCTTTCACATTAGAGATTACATGACATCTGCCCCAGAGATGCCGCCAAATCAGACAACAGGTCGAATGCTGCTTCATGCAATCCATTCCATTGCACTTTGCCGCATTTTGCTTTTATTGACACATCAGCTTTTTCATTTCCAAATTTCCACGTTTCCACTCAGGTTTCTTTAAACGCAAATTGATAATGCGCATAAAAACAGGTGGATGTAAACGCAACTAATGACATACCACATCGTATTCACTGCAGCCCGGGAAGAGCATTTCACCGAGCACCATGTGTGCCATCACAACACCGAGAGACCACATGTCGATGGCCTCTGTAAATGGAAGTCCCAAAATAATTTCTGGAGCCCTGAAAATGTAACAAATGTCCAACACAGAATGAGGAACACTCGTATTTGAGCGGGTGGTAGACATCTCCTACGAACATAGAAGAATGTGATTGGAGTCTCTCTGTAACTCACCTGAACATTCTTGTTTGGTGACGTTTGCCCTGATTCATCCTACAGGACGGAACAGCCAGTCCGAAGTCGATGAGCTTCACCCTGAGTGGCTGCGCTTTACTGTCCACCAGCATGATGTTGTCTAACTTTACGTCTGCATGGATCACTCCAATGGTCCTCAGGACAAAAAAGGCTGTGGCCAACTGCAAGATCAGCAATGACATTTAAAGGGTGGACTCACACCTTTTTGACTTTAGTGTTGTGTCTGATGGTACTGTATACATACCTGTTGGACTACACTGCTGACGTCATGTAAATTCAGGGTTTTGACGTCTTTCTGGTAGTCCCACAGAGTCATTTCCAGCAACTCGAAGGCGAGAGCAGTTGTATTGTCCCTCAGCGGGAAGGAGTCAATGAACCTGACGATGTTCCACTGGTCCAGGTTCTTACACTTTAACTCTTTCAGGACAGTCAACTGGGGAACACAAGTGTGACGAGTAGTTGTTGACACAAGCTTTAAACTCAGGAGAACAATTTTTGATATTTAGATAAAAGCAATATAAACATGCGGATGAGTAATTACTTCATCGTGGCGGTTCCTGCCGAAATTAGGGATCTTTACAGCAACAGTCTCGTTAGTGTCCTCTTTGACACATTTGAGCACTTCTCCGAAGCTTCCCCATCCTATTAATTTCAGCAGAGTATAGTTGCTGGGGAGGAGGTGGCCTTTATTCATCTGTTTAGGACATGCACATATGGATTATGAGAGAACCACATCACACACACAATGAGACGGCAGTAGAAGTCAGAGTTCACCTACACTTTGGTTGTTTCATCACATCTTTAACAGTTTTCCAAAAGATTACATTGTCTATCTAACTTTCAATATGAGAAATATTTAAAAAGAAGCAGCAGCACATGCTTTCTGTTCATGAACACATCTTCGTATTGTATATCGTATCTTCAAGTTCTCACAAACGTTTTCTACATGAGGGAGAAACAAACAGCGACTTACCGGCATCACGAAGGATTTGTCGAGTCGATCAGTCGAGTTGGTTCGATTCGTCGAGAGGTTGATTTCGTTAGATCAATCTGTCTTATCTGTCCACTTGTTAATAAAATGACAAACTGACAAGCAGCAGCAGAACTTGTGTGACATGAGTTCTAGAACATCAGGATGATGCGATGTGTTGCGTCTGTGTGCGTTCTGAATATGCAAATGATTAAATAGCAAAGCTTTTAACCCACACACAATGCATGCTGGGAAGTGTGCTTACAACTTCTCGAAATGTAAATTTAAACATAAAGGCAGCTTTAATTCTTCAGCTTTGGCAGACTATTATGACACAGTTAACTATTTGTATGTTATCTAAAAAGTTACATTTACCAGACTGAACAACCTGTGATCTTTATCTATGTTAAAGAATAAAAGTTGGTCATCTAGAAGTTTAAATGTACTTTTAGCATTCCTCATTTAAATTAATGACAGCACAAAGCTGCTGGCAAACTGCAAAACAAATAATAAAAATGAGAAAGGTGCCTGTCACTGAGATCTCAAATATGAAGGAATCAGTTTGATGCTAATTGTTGGAATAATGGACTCAAATGATCTGATCAGATGACGGCAGAGATTGATGGACTTTATTCAACATACTAGAGGAGAGCATGAGTTGGTGGCTGAACGTGGAGGATGAGGAGGAGGAAGAAGCACCTGCTCCTGGTGGATCTGGAAGTCTGTGGAGTCCACCAGGGCCTGGAGAAAACCACAGAGAAAATGTCCAGTATGAATATATCATACAGCACCAAACCTCCATTAAACATATTTACATTCAGAAGAGAATCACAGCTTCAAGGAGTTCACACCTCAGATATTCTAAGATGTTCTATCACAAAGATATCAAACATCCTTGTTTTCACTTTGTGACTTCTACAGACTTGATCATTTCTAACAAGCATTAAAACACCTGATGAACTGAAACTACATGGAAAGACACTGAGACACCACAGATACAGTATTCAATTTAGTGAGCTCCTATATTTCACAATTCAACAGACTAATCAACTTTCAATAATAATGTTACAGTTTAAGAGACAGTCCTCTGGATGTCCCTGATAGACAGGCCTTACACACAAGTTTAGAGCATTAACACCTCTTACCTTTTCTTTACATATTCCTGCAGGGGAAGGTTTTTAGATACAAGCAATACTGAACAACCTGAGCTGGAAAGAAAGTAGATTCAAGGGACATTTTGGAACACAGTCTCTCTTTGATTTAATGTAACCTGTCCCAAAATGCCTTGTACAACATCAACAACAGCAGTCAAATCTAATCACTAAGCACTAGAAAACTGTTCATGTCTTATTCTCACCACTAGATGGGATGATGATTCCACAGAAGGAACTGGTCGTTGGCTAGAAAGCAATTAAATTAAAGTAAGATCCGGCGCAATGTCAACCCATCTGTGCCATTCTTAACTATCTATTGGTTTGAGATGAATGGCAACAGGTGGGCTGTTTGCAGGACTGAGATTAATATTTGAAGAAGGTCTGTCAATGAATATGAAATTTGAAATCGATGATTAATGCCTGTACCGGGGGAAGGTTTGTGTATTCAGGTCCTTGCAAGGTGTTGACATAGTATCTGCACTGAAATCAGAGATGGACAATAAAACATGGAGGACAAGTGACATGAGCATAAGTCGATGATGGCTGTAGCTCCTGATACTAACTCTAGAACTCTGGGATTCATTTTTAATATGACTGGAGTATATTGCTAATTACAGTCAAACCCCAAGATTCCTTGAGGATAACGAGAAAACACATTTCCAGAGAATTAAGGGACGCTTTAAGGACTAGTGATGACACTCATTTGTGGGCTTTGAAGTTGAAGAGTGCCGTAAGTGCCTTAAGACTGGCTGCAATTAAAACATTCATTATTTCTAATTAAGCATGTAGATGCTGATTAATTAAAATCCTCCTTTGTCAGCTGTACGATGAAAAAAATAAAAAAATAAAAAGCATCATCTTATTGCATGTCCACTGATGAGGAACACAGAAACCTCAGTGTCATTATATAAGGGATCCTTACGAACATACTGCTGTTTACATGTGTAAAAGACATTGCTAATTAAAAGAGATGAGTCAACCTTTATGCACAGGTTTTCTCCCGTTAAACATACAGCTATATGAGCTGCCTTCAGGGACTTAGTTTCCCCAGGAATCTCAATTATTTTAGTTTTCTTGCATGTATGTGGTGAGGTATTCTTCACACCGAAAAGTAAGACCCTGTGCAACCAACCTCTATCATCCATTGGGCGGGTAAGCCACTCACCCTTGCGAGTCTCATATAATCACCTCTTTGTTCTGACACTGGCGGGCTCACTTGGCTGGCAGCAGTTGGTAATGTCTGCCTTTGTGCAACGAAGCTACCAGGATTAAAACTTTACTTTCATCATCACTTTTTTTTCTCTTTCAACTCCAAGGACATTCTCGTAGTTTTCCTTTTAAACAAGATTATTCTGAGGAAAAAAGATTTATTGTAGATTAATCTTTTGGAACCTTCCTGAGCAGGAAGTACATCCTCTGATGGGCATTTTCCCTGATGGTGTTTGGCGCCCAGTGTGGGTCCTGGGCGATGGTGGATCCCATAAACCTGAAGGATTCCACAGTAGACACAGTGTTGTTCAGTATGTTGAATGGGGCAGGGCCAGCCATTCAACCTGGTTGTGTGATGTCTGAGTCGGACCGGGTTAGGGATCTGAATTTGGGCTTTTTAACCCTGCAGTAAAACACATTCAGGTTGTCAGCCAGTTGATAGTTGTCCACAGTGCGGAGGGGTGGTCTGCTGTCACTGGTGATGTCCTGAAGGCGTCTTCACTTTAACGTAGGGTTGGATGATGTTTTAAAGATTCCCATCCCAGAGGACCTATGCGCATAAGAGGAGCCGGACAACGGGGAGTACCGCGCTAGTCTTCCTGTTCCCTGAAGCAGGGTCTGAACCCTACACAGCTGCCTTGGGCGTCAGTAAGCTTCTTGTGAATGAGGAGAACCACACAGGCTGGAATAACAAGTATGTATTTTTCATCCAAGGAAGCCCCAGCTCACAAAGCTTTGATAGGCTAGATATCTACAATGATATATGACAATATTTAGTCATGTAAACATCATGTCTCTAACACTTTTTGTTAATGTGGATTTGGTAATACCTTGAGTTTCCTTTTCTATTTTTTAATTATCATGGATGATCAATCATATGTCTTGTTACAGCATGATGATAGCATGCATGCATCCTCTGCAAAGAGCAGGTATTGATGAACGTGATGACAATAAATACATTACAGTATCTTCTGACAAAAGTCAATAGATACACTTTGAGACATTCATGTTCTGAATTTGGGCATTATTTAACTATAATTGTGGGTGTGTTAGTGGTGTGAAGAAATACAAGCAAGACTGCATAAAGTCTAAACATGTGTATTTTCATGAACAACATACTCCTTTTTAAGTTGCATGTAGTTTTTAATACTAAATAATCTGTATGTCATAATACCTGCCAGGTTCCTTTCAATGTAACATGTACTGAATTGCATATCTACTTATGTGGCTAACGTGGATGATTTAATTAATGTTGCATAACTTTGGGTAAACGCAGGCTTGTTTTGCTCTCAACGCCACGAGGTTGTCCCAGCTTTGTGTGTCTGTTATTTTGGCCTGTTGCTCCTCGCGCTAAAGTTACAACCCCCTCTGTGATTGGTGGATGTGGACCAATGAATGCAAACAGCTCTCGTGACGGTTAGGGTTAGGAGGGTTTTTGCGCGAAGAAGGTGCAGATGTTGGCGGTTGTGAACAGAGAAGAAGGAGAAGAAGAAGAAGCTGCTGTTCACGCTGAGGCACTTGACGGTGAGAACAATGCGGTTATGCTAATAATTAGCCAGGCTTTCAGACCATTCAGACGACGTCTTGCTGGAGTTAAAGGTCAATGTGGTCACCTTTTGCAGCATTGCTTAAGTTTGTTCAGCTGAAGTCAATTGTAGTAACGCTAATTAGTGGACTGTATTGCTGTGCACGTCGAAATTCAAAAAGCTTTTAAAATGCATTCACGCTGGGTCCTAGGCACAACGTTGAATTATTCCAACATCTCACCAAACACTATAAGACGATTCATTCATTTACACTCACTTTGGCTGGCTGTATGTAGTGTTTTTTAATGGACAATAACACGATGTAATCATGTAATAACGTTAAGTTTAGTTAAATGTAGTGGTGTAGTCAGGCATTTATTTTTTCTTTGCTCTTCATCACTATTATCACATTTAATTACCTTTCCAAAGTGACTTGTTTGTGTCTGCGTATTTCAAGTGTGTGTGTGTTGAATGAGGTCTCGTGCAGCATTTGTATTGCCCCACCTCCGCCATTTTTGAAACAACACTCTCGAGCAGTGGGCCCCAATAATCAACACCGTTTACCCGACTCGTGATTAGCTAACCGACATCATGGTCTTACCATGCTGGAGAGACCATCACGTGCTTATATTGTACTTTTAGTTCTGAAGGCCCCAGTGAGGTGGAGAACTTGTTCTGCCTGACAAGTCATGTCATGTTTTAACTGGTAACCTGACACATAATGCAACATTATAATGCACAATGTGCAGCTATGCAGTAAATTAAACAACATGTGCATACATGGAGAAATGAGGTTATGCAAACAATCGGCGGTTTGATTCCAGAAGCAAAAGAGGGAGGGAAACTTAGATGGCGCTCGCATGCATGGTCGATTATCTATCAAAACGTAAGCTGTCAGCTCCAGCACCATTGCTGCTGTGCTGCTCCTGCTGAGAGGACATGTGCACGCTGCATAAGTACTTTAATATGTGGACAGTTGACCAAAGGGAAATGAAAGGTTATCCAGTTTAGACATCTCTCGCTAAATAATAATCTCTTTGTTTCATGTTTTCTTCTAGTGATATCAAAGAGGCGACATTTCTGCTGACATGGAAGGCTGTGGAGGTAGGTGTAAACAACTAGTTATGTAATCTCAACGGAAGCATCTATATCTAGTGAAGTGCTGAAATAGTTGTTACTTGTCATTACTCAAGTAAAAATGGCTTATTAATTGAAAATATGAATGTGAAATAAAGCATTGCTATGTTGTGACATTGAGCTCATCACACATCTGCAGACATCCAAGTGAAGGAGCTGAACAAGCGTGCTTCTGGTCACGCGTTTGAGGTCATCCTGAGTCCCACAACCCCAGATGCCAAGTGCAAATCCCCGTTCCCATTGTCCCCCCTGAAGAAAAAGCCAACTTCACTGGATGAGATTAAGAGGAAATTGGAAACCGCAGAAGAGAGACGCAAGGTATTTTTTAAATAAGTACCACTATGAATACCCCTTACTGAGCTGTGAAGCTTTGCACGTTGGTTTAGGATTCAGGTTCTTACTGAAAAAGTTCTCTTTTTGTCAGAGCCACGAGGCTGAGGTGCTGAAACACCTGGCGGAGCAACGAGAGCACGAGAAGGAGGTCATCCAGAAGGCCATAGAAGAAGACTACAACTTCAGCAAGATGGCACAAGAGAAACTCAATCAAAAGATGGAGGCAAACAAAGAGAACCGCACTGCAAGGATGGCAGCCCTCAATGAGAAATTCAAGGAGAAGGTAAGCTCCTAATGGCGCGTCAACCTTTGTCGTGTTTAGTGCTGAAATATTAAACTACAGCGTTGTGATGCTTCTGCTTATAAACACCAACAGGACAAGAAGCTGGACGAAGTGAGGAAGAACAAGGAGGCAATGAAAGAAGACAGTTAATTTGTTTAGGATCTGGAAAACAGTCTTTACATCTCCAAAAATAAGCTTTATTTTTTAAACTGACACTTCTATCGTCATGTTTGTTGTGTTAGTTCTGCTGTTGAATAAAGTTGGTTACACAATGTTAGATCGGGTGTGGATATAGTCAGATTTTACTTCACTTGTAGATTTGTTATTGGCAGCTGATTAGTTATTGTGGTACAAACTATATTTTTTTACAAAGAGGCATTACTTTGTAACAAATTCTTCCTTTAATTCATGCTGTTGAAATGAACATGTTTTGTATGGTTGATGATGTTGCATGTTAATATTACTGTATGATACACAGGTTCAACCATTAAACTATATTCCCAAATTATTTTATTTGTCTCTTTGTGTGTTTGTGCCTCATGAGGGTTGAAGGTGAAGGATTATATTTCCCTAATTTGTGATGAAAATTGACAAAACTTAAATTAAGGGGGGGGGGGGGGGGGGGGGGGATGGAGAGAGGGGGAAACACTTCCTTTTGTGTTTTTTTTGAACA